AGAGATTGCTCAGTGGTTAAGAACACTGGTTATTCTTGCAGAAGACCTGGGTTTGAATCCCAGCACCCACATGGCAGCTAACAACTGTCCATAACTCTAGTTACAGGGGATCTGACAGCCTCTTCTGTTCTCCTTGGGTACAACACGACACAGGTGCACTTACCTACATGCAGGAAATACACGCATACACATACAATAAAAATATTTTTAAAAAAGCATTATATAGCTATATATGATAAATTAAAAAGAAAAAGAAGAAAAATAATGTATGGGATATTTTCATCTCACAATTTAAAAAGTGTTGGTTAATGAAACTGTCTTGGGGAACAAAGGGGACTACTTGGAGTCAGGAGGGGAAAGAAAGAAGGAGCATGGGGGGGGTGCTCACTCTATAAATATACTTGTGTGAAAGTGTCCATACAATGAATATATATAATGAAACTTCTAAACACTGCTGCTTAATATTGTAACCCTTGGATAGCTATTTAGCTTTAGTCCATTTAAAAAATCATTTATTTTTATTTGTGTGTGTGTGTGTGTGTGTGTGTGTGTGCACATGTGTGTGGGTTCTGCAAAGGCCAGAAAGTGATGTCAGAGTCCCTGAAGCTGGAATTACAGGCAGTTGTAAGCCAGGTGCTGGGAACTGAACTAAGGTCTTTTGCAAAAGCAGCAGGGGCTCTTAACTGGCATCATCTCTCCACCCCTAAGCTTTAGCCTATTTTAAGTTACTTTAAGTTTTAGGTTAAGAGAATCACCAAGGGGCTAGAGAGATGGCTCAGTGATTAAGAACACTGACTGCTCTTGCAGAGGACCTGGGTTTGATTCCCAGAACCCACGTGGCGGCTACGAACCATTCTTAACTCTAGTTCCAGGGGAATCCAAAGCCCTCTTCTGACCTCCACAGCATTGCACAACACGGGTGCACTTACATGCAGGCAATACACTCATACACATAAAATAAAAAATAAAATAGTTTTTAAAAAAAGAGAGAATCAACAAGGTTTTTAAAAGGCAGAGGGTCACTTTTGATACCATCCTCACAGTGAAAACAAAAATCCTAACATTCATGCCACTTAAAAAAAATTATTTTATGTGTATGAGTATATTGCCTGCATGTATATAAGTGCACCCATGTTGTGCAATGCCAGTAGAGGTAAGAAGGCGGCATCGGATCCCCTGGAACTGAAGTTAGGATAGTTGTTAGCTGCCATGTGGGTGATGGGAGTCAAACCTCAGTCAGTGCTCTTATCCGCTAAGCCATCTCTCCAGCCCCATACCACTCTTTTCAAAATTATATTGGCTCTTCATCACCATTATCATGCAACCTAAAATTCCAACCTTTCATAACTTAGCTTGTTTTCTTTCTAGCTTTCTTTCTTATTCTAGATTTATCGACTCTAGTTAAAATGGCCTACCATTATGTCAGGATGATACAACTTTAAAGTAAAAAAGATCAGGCTTGTCTAATCCAAGGTCTACTAGCCCTGCCACAGCTTGTCTGTTTCCTCATCTAAATGAGAAGGACTATTAAGAAGAGTATGTGAGTAAAAGGGTACAGGTGAGATGGCCCTCAGTTTGATCCCCCAGAACTGGGGAATCATCATCTCGCATGGCAGTGAGCAGCTGTAAACCTGGTGCTGGAGAGGTGGGAACAGAAGAATCCCTGGCACTTGTCAGTCTAACTGAATCAGCGAGCTTCAGGTTCAGTGAGGGCCTGTCTCAAAAAAATACATGGATGGAGCTGGGGAGCTCCTTTGATAAAGTACTTGCCATGAAAAGTCGGGGACTTGAGTTCAGATCCTAGCAGCCACATAAAAGCCAACTGAGCCGGGCATGGTGGTACACGCCTGTAGTCTCAGCATTTGGGAGGCAGAGTCAGGTGGATCTCTGTGAGTTCAAGGCCAGCCTGGTCTACATAGTGAGTTCCAGGACAGATGGGGCCACAGGGGGCCCCTGCTTCAAAAAAACCAAAAAAAAAAAAAAAAAAGCCAACTGAGGCATATTGACAATCGCAGTGCTCGGGAGGAGAGGACAGAGCTAAATGAGATCCTTGGAGGTTCTTTGGCCAGCAAGCCGAGCTGACAATGAGCTACTGTCTAAAAAAAATAAAGTGAGCTGGGTGTGGTGGCACACGCCTGTAGTCCCAGCACTTGGAAGGCAGAGGCAGGTGGATCTCAGTGAGTTCAAGGCCAACCTGGTCTACACAGTGAGTTCCAGGACAGCTGGGGCTACAGGGAGACCCTGTCTCAAAAAGAAAAAATAAAATAAAATAAAATAAAATGAAGAGTGATCAAGGAAGACACCTCTGGCACACACACACACGGACAGGTATACACATCACTTACATCATACAGTACTGTGGACAATGAATGAGGAAGCCATGCAATATCAACCTCTGGCCTCAAAATGCACTCACATATAGCTGCATCCTCACGTGTGCACACACATCAACATAAGCACACACATACACAAAGTATATGAGCAAGGGAGAAAAAGTGGATGAAATTACAAAGGACTGTTTCATGTTTCACCTCTTACATGCCGTCTTCTTATTATTCAAACTATAGTCCTATTGATGCTATTTCCTTTGTACTAAACTATAGGATAATTGCCATGCATCATGAGTTAATTTTTATTAACTTCACTAATGTCAATATTTATAATTTCTTTAGTTTCTAAGCAGTATGTTTTGCATACAGAATGTTCTTTATAATATGCAATTTATAAAACCAATTTATTTCCTAATAAAACTTTAAACCTTAATTGATGGCACAAGTGTAAGGCCTGAGATTTGGTCCCAGCACATTCTCACAAATCTACATATACCTCAAATGCTATTATTTCACTATATTATTAATGCTTCAAGCATAAAAATCTAGTGTCTCCATAGATTTATAAAACCTATAGTACCTTTATAAAACAGGTATTTTTAAGTATAAAACTGCCCCCTGCCCCCCAGATTCCAAAAGGTATTATGGAGAGGACAAAGAAATATATGCCAAGGTACATATATTGGGATACGTTGGAAAAGCTTATGAAAAAAAAAATTCAGGAAACTTGGGGTCTCTGCCTCAGTTAGTCAAGTGCTTCCATCACAAGCATGGGGACCTAAGCTCTGACTTATACCATTTCTTGCCTATAATCCCAGCACTGGAGAGGATGAGACATCAAGATCCCTAGGGCTTGCTGGCCAGCCAGTTAGTGGAATCTGTGAGCTCCAGGTTCAATAAAAGGCCCTGTCTCAAAGAATAAGGTGTGGGGGCTGGAGAGGTTGCTCAGTGGTTAAGAGCACTGGCTGCTCTTGCAGGGGACCTAAATTTGGATCCCAGCACCCACATGGTGGCTGACAACCAAACCGTAACTCTAGTTCCAGAGGATCTGACACCCTCTTCAGGCACTGCACAACACAGATGCACTCACATGCAGGCAGGCAATGCACTCATAAACATAAAGTAAAAATAATAAAATATTTTTAAAAAGAATAAGGTGGAATGGGATTGAGGAAGACACCTGGCATTGACCTCTGTGTACATCTACTTAGTATGCATACACACTCTCACATAAAGAGAAAAAACGACATGCCAGGTGTAGTGGTGCAGGCCTTTAATCTCGGCACTCAGGAGGCAGAGGCAAGTAGATCTCAGCAGCATTAAGGTCAGCCTGGTCTACATAGGAAGTTCCAGGCCAGCTGAAGCAACATGGAGATGCTATCTCAAAAACAAACAAACAAAACAAAAAATAGTATTTCTATTCCTACAAAAAAAAAAAAAAAATGAATGATAGGTAAGAGCTACACTGATAAGGATGAGAGAAGAGAATGAAGAACAATTCAAGCAGGTGGGAAGTATATGCAAATTAGGTATAAAGGTCCAATTCATACAACATAATTTGCAAGCAAAGTCCCTAGAATAAGACACTGTAAGTTTGGTGGGTTTTTTTGTTGTCGTTGTTTTTTAAAAAGGGCTAGAAGCTGGACATGGAGGTTCAGGCCTTCAGTCCTAGCACTCGGGAGGCAGAGGCAGGCGGATCTCTGTGAGATCGAGACCAACCTGGTCTATATAGTGAGTTCCAGGTCAGCTGGGGCTACAGGAGACCCTGTTTCAAAAAGAACCCCCCACCAATTTTTTTAATTAGATAAAAAAATTTTTTAAAGGGTTGGAAAGGCTGAAGGCTATCTGGTCACTGTCCCTCCCTACAAGCGGTAAACTTTTACCCATTTTCTTTATGCACAGGATTACAAAAAAAACGCATGATGAGACTTTTTGGCCATATCCATATACGCAAGAACTTTCGCAATGGTTAACAGCAAGAGCACGGAAATGTGCCTTTCGACTATCTAAGCTACCATTAAGGGCTCAGTGAGTTTCAAAATGCAGCGGCATGTCACCTTCAGATAAAACTGAGATACATGCTTGATTTCTGGGGTTTTCTTCTTGTTTCGGATGTTTTTCAGACAGGTCTCTACGTAACCCAGGCTGGCTTTGAAATCAGCCTCCTGAGTGCTACCACGCCTTGCTTAACAAAGTAACTAATTCATCAAACAATGTTTAGGGAAAACTCCCCAACAACCATAACGTACACTGGAACCTTTCACCAGCTGCCCCCGCAACCCTTTACTTTCTGTCGTCGTTAGTCCTTATGTTGGCGTGTCAAGTACTTGACCCTCAATAAACCAAAGGGCGCCCAGTGGGCGCCCGCCCTAAAATCCTGCTCAAACAGCGCTTCTCCAGTCGCTGATGCCGAGGACTTGTTCCCCGGTACTTTCAAAATCATCAGGAGAATCCCGGTCAGGGGCGGGCCCGGAATCGCCCGCAGCAGAGCAGCCGGGTAGGAACCGTCGAGGACCGAAGCTCTAGGGGACCCATGTGCGGGTATCCGATCCCGCAGCCCGAGCGGAGACCCGACGTCGGCCGAGCCCCGGCGGCCCCTGCACCGCGCTCCCGCGAGGAGGCAACAAGAACCACCCAGGACTAAACCCGCAGGCCCCGCAACCAACTCACCATGGTAGAGAGCCGCACAGCTCTGGCCGGAAAACACTCGGGGGACCCGGTTTTCCCTAGTGGAAAAGGCGGGGCACTAGGGGCCGATTGGTTGTGAACCTGCAGGGGCGGAAGTGCGTAGGGCCTGGAGTTCCGCCCCTTCCTGTTGCCCCTCAAGTGGGCGGGGCTGGTCGTGAAATCCGGAGTAAGGGGAAGGGGCGATTAAGGGTTTGTTACCTTTGGGAAACTGAGGGCTGTTCACACGCTTCTACCGCGGGCTGGAGGGGCGGCTCACGGGTTAAGGGCACTTGCTGCTCTTCCAGAGGACCCCGCATGGCGGCTCTGTCGTCCTCTTCCGGCCTTCACGGGCACTGCACACTTACCAGTAAGCATTCGGGCAATCAAAACACTTTACAAGTAACTTTTTAAAAAAATGCTTCTAACTGCGTGTGATTTTACTAAATGAATAGTATTAATGTTCAGAGTATAATCAGTCACGGTGGCGCACGCTTTTAATCCCAGTACTCTGGGAGGCTGAGGGCAGGCTGATCTCTTAAGACCAGCCTATAGCCTATAGCCCCTGTTGACCTTGAACTCACTATGTAGACCAGGCTTGCCTTGAACTCATACAGATCTGCCTGCCTCTGCCTCCTGAGTGCTGGGATTAAAGGTGTGAACAACCAAGCCTAGCCCTCAAACCTGTTTTTGTAAATTGCTATGACTAATTTATTCCTAGCTCATTTAGTCTGGCCTAGGTACAGATCAAAAGGCCACACGTCCTGACCCACGCCTGGGATACCTACTTTATAAGCTATTATGACCAACTGTAAACTAAGAAATTTTCCTGAGATAACATATCCTACCATGAAAAGAAACATAGGGCCCAGGGTCAGCCATAAAATGACATAAAAATGCCTATGTAATCTCCTCTGTACTGAAGTTTGAGGCCTGGGAAATCTAAAAGCCTTAGTTTAGTTGCTGATTCTGGGACTTCATGCAAGAGAAAGAAATAAATGAGCTGCTGCTCATCTCTGTACCTGGTCTTTTAGCTATTCGAGGAATTTTTCCGTAACACTCTCAGGTGTGTCTTACTTTCTTCTTAATTCACATGCTTATGAATATATAAAAATATCTCTACCAAACCCCAGCTTGCTTCATTAAAAAAAGTTGCCTAATGGTGCATGCTTTTAAATCCCAGCGCTCAGGAGGCAGAGGCAGGCAGAGCTCTCTGAGATTGAGAACAACCTAGTCTACATAGCATGTTTCAGGTCAGCTGGGGCTACAGGGAGAATATGTCTTTATAAAAATTTAAAAAAAAAAAAAAAAAAAAAAAGCTCAGTAAGAGCTTGTCTTGCAAGCATAAGGACCAGAGTTCAATCCACAGAAACCACAAAGTGGTATTTAGTAAAGTTGTAATTTCAGCACTCAGGAAGCAAAGCCATGTCCTTGGGGCTATTTCATGGCCCCAGAACCCAGAGACAGACCCTACTTTAAAACACACCCAAGGTTGTCTTCTGGCCTTCATAGTCATTTCATTGGGCAGGGTGTGGCAGTACATGCATATACTGGCACTCTGTAGGCTGAAGCAGGAAGAGTGCAGAGTTCAAGGCCAGCCTGGGATATATACACCAAATCTCAATCAAAAAAGGAAAATAAATGTTTTGAGCCCTGGGTGATGGCTGGAGACAGATGACCCCAAGTTCAAGGCCTGTCCAGTAAACTTAGCAAAACTTAGAAAGAGGCTGTAGCTCAGTGGTAGAGCCCTTAACTAGCATGCATGTCACGGAGAGATTCAAGTGTCTAAACCAGGCACAGACCTATAATCATATTAGTCTGGAGGCTAAGGCAGAAAGACAAATTCTAGGCATACTTTGGCTATAGAGTTCAAGATTAGCCTTGGCAACATAGTAGTCATCTCAAAATAACAGAATAAATGAGTCTGTAACTGGGTCCCATCCCAGCAATACAGTGATGTCCTAACACTCAGTAGCATGCTGACCTGTGATCCAAGTGCTTGGGAGCCTGAGGCAGGAGACTGAAACATGTCTCACACACACAAAGGCATGGAAGGAGAGAGACTTGTTGGGAAGGGTTTCATTGGGAGGATGGTGGGGGTGGTGGTGAGATAGACTAATAGGAAGTGAAAAGGACTACAATTCATTATATATGTATAAAACTGTCAAAGAACAACCATCTTTAAAATATGATGCATGTCTCAAGTAGCTGATATTGAACTCAGAATGCCTACTGCATATTCTATCTTTAAATCCCTATACAGCTAATTATACAACGATATAATGAAGGAGAGTGCCCAGACCCCCTCCCTGTCCTCTGAGAAAGAGTTGCCCTCCGCCTGACTCTGGAACTGCCCTAGATTGTTCAAACCCTTTCCTGGTACATGTTTATGGTTTCTATGGAAATGGTCTGGGGCAGAAGAGGAAGAACGTTCTGCTCCAGGTAAGCTAGCCAATGTCTCTATAGGTTAAGGCTCTGGAAATCAGCCCTAGATTGTTCAAATCCTTTCCTGGTTCTTCTGTTTATGGTTTCTATAGAAATCCCCTGCTCTGCGGTTTTTGTGCTTAAAAGCCCTGCATTTCCACAGCTCTGGGTTGCAGTACAGCTCCCGAACCTGCCTGCATCCCTGGCCAGTTGGTCTCAATAAAGCAGATAAGTTTTCCTGAGTCTCGGTGTCTGAGTGGTCAATTCAGGGAATTCTTCGGACCCCGAACAATAGAAAGCAAGCAGACAATTTAGAGCACCTGTGTGTTAGTAAGATAAATGGGAGGAAAAAAAATCTAAAAAGCCATTTATAAGCAGTGTAATATAGAAACCAAGAACTAAGTAGCTGATTCATAGTGCTCAGAAGAGCTTTTTTCAAGATTTACTTGAGTGTACGTGTACATGCACACTCGCACACGTGACTGCAGATCCCAAAAAGAGGTTATCAGAACCCTTACAGCTGGAGTTACAGATGTTTGTGAGATGCCAATGTGGGTGCTGGGATTGGAACTCCAGTCCCGAGCAAGCAGCAAGTGCTCTTAACTACTATGTCATCTCACCAGCCCCTCAGAAGTTTCTTAGATGAGATTTAACTTGTGGGTGGCTTTTGGAATGTCATTTTTCTAGGCAATAAAAAACTATAAACTAAAGCAATTATCAGTTAATAATGAAAAGACATTTTGAGATTTCTGAAAGGTGGCAGCATATGCTATGTCAAAATTTGGATCATGTTTTCTTCATAATGTGTATTGATTTATACTACTATAGTCAAAGGAATGTGTCAAACTATTGTGTTAGGACCCACTTAATCTCTTACTGAGACAGGGTCTTATGTAGCTCAGGCTGGCTCTTGAGTTGCTGTGTAGCTGAGAATGGCCTGGAAATCCGGATCTGTGCTGCTTCCACTTCCTAAGTGCTTGGGATTACAGGCATGTAACAAGATAGTGGGCTAAATATTTTCAAGGGAATGCTCGACAGGAAACAGGTGAAAGATAAATCCAATGAAATTTCCGAAAATCATGTAAGGCCTAACTGGAAGTCCCAGTTGATGGAAGTCCCATTTCATGATCCTGTTTCTCACTCCAGGTTGCTCCTACCCATCCATGTGACTTCCTAACCCTGATCCCCCAAATTAAACTGCCCATCATTGTAGATAACCTTCACCCAACTTGATCTCTGACACACAACTTTCAGCAATCACAGAACCAGCTCATCACTGTGCACACTGATTTGAACTCTTGTGCAGAAGAGATAAAGTATCAACTCCAGCACTGTTATCCTTAGCAGGTTTTGCTTGCTAGTTGGTTCTTGATTGGCACTGGTGAATGTAGCTTTGAAGGAGGATTTCCCCTTACTTGACAGAATGGCTCAATGTTGTTGGAGGAATTAAACACATCTTGTGGGACTCCAGTGGGTGAAGAGTCTTGGAATCTCTATTGTATATATTCTTCTTGGGTTCATGGAACTCCTTAAATCTGCTTATTACTATTATTATTCCTTAAATCTGATTATTATTATTGAGGCATGGTCTCCCTCCTTATATAGACCATGTTGGACTTGAACTCACAGAGATCTCTGCCTCTACCTCCTGAGTGCTGGGATTAAAGGCCTGTGCTACCACACCTGGTTAAATCTATTTCAACTCATTTGGGGAAGTTTTCAGGCATGACATTTTGCCTATTTGTCTCATCTATTCTTCTTCTTTCCTCTCCTCCTGTACTTTAAATTACAGGGCATGGATAATTGACCCATGGTCTCAAATCTTTTTATTCTTTCCTTTGGTATTTTTTGAGACAGGATCTCCCTGTAGCCCCAGCTGACCTGGAACTCACTATGTAGACCAGGCTGGCCATGAACTCAGGGATCCACCTGCCGCTGCCTCCCTAGCACTAGGATTAAAGGTGTGCGCCACCATGCCTGGCTCTCTATGTATTCTTGTTAGGTCTTTCCTGTGTTCGATTTGGCATCTGATGGAATTTTATTTCCATTACTTTGTCACTTCAGGCTTGTGCTTTTCATTACCAGGTTTTCCAATGAGTTTGCAATCTGTTTCTCTGCTGGAAATTCAAATCTGTTCATCCATTATCTCCTTTCCTATACATTTGATAACATTTTCAAGTTGTCCACTGTTTATCCCAATGTGGTGGTGATCTATGCACCTGTTTCTATGTATTTTCTGATTATGAATTATGTCGTGTTTCTTTTAATACTTAGAAACTATATATTTGACTTTAGGAAATATTATAGACTCTGAATCCTGCTTTCTTCTAAAGAATGTTGTATTTGTTTTGGATTTACACTATTAAAAAGGTAAAATTCATACTGTGAAGGTGTGATTTTGAGTTTTGTTAAGAGTTTCTGTTCATTTTGTCCTTGGAGTTTCAACAGTAAATACAAAGTTTATTTACCATCCATTAAAATAAAAACTCTCTTCAAATTTTAATTTAAAAACTTTATCTTCAGGGCTGGAGAGATGGCTCAGTGGTTAAGAACACTGGTTGTTCTTGCAGAAGACCCAGGTTCGAATCCCAGCACCCACATGGCAGCTAACAACTGTCTGTAACTCTAGTTATGGGGATCTGACAGCCTCTTCTGTCCTCCTCAGGCACTACATGACACAGGTGCACTTACCTACATGCAGGGCAATACACACATACACATAAAAAATTTAAAAAAACAAACAAAAAAAAAACCTATTTTCAAAGGGCTGTTATCTCTGACACTTTTTGTTATTTTTGTTTCTTGAGACAGGGTCTGCCTATGTAGCTCAAGCTGGAATGGAAATCACTATGTAGCAAAAGTTGGACGTGAACTTGCAATCCCTCTTCTTCAGTCAACCAAGTGCTGTGATTATTAGAGTGTGGACCACTATGCCGAGCCTTGGTCAGTTCTTTAGACTTTGCTTTCTGTGGAGTCCCTTTGGAGAGCCCACCTCACAGGTACAATTTTGGAACCTTCCAAGGACTGAAAGAAATTGATATGCAGATGATGGGGTTAAATTCTCTAAAGCCTTTTCAAGATTCCCCTTCTGATTTCCAGCTTTTCAGAAGCCTACAAGAATTTTTTCGCTGAGCAAATCAGCCACATTTGGCTTGAATTTTATTCTCAAATGAACTGCACAAGTTGGAAAGTGATAGGCAGGTGAGAAATTTATGTAGATTCTGACTGGCTGGGCTGCCCTCCAGAGCCTTCTATTCACTGTTTCTTATATTCTGCTCAGTTCACTGGCATAAGATTTACAAAATACTCAGACTGCAACCTCTGAAATAGCCAAGACTTAAATTTAAAAAATTAAAGACAAAACAAAGTTTATCATTTATTTACAATAAAATGAGGACAAAAACCCACTTTATGCAGCTGTACCCTTTAAGTTATTTCTTCTGTAGAAGTACAAAAGAACAGACTAAAACTGAGACAAACGTTTAAAAGAAAATCCTTTGACTCAGGAGTCCAAAAACACACCACAAATGGTTCCTTTGACCAAAAAAATTAGTTTTTATACAACATATAAATAATATTACATTATGAACAAAGAATGCTGTATATGTTTAACTTAAAATTCTACTAGCTGTTTTTCCTCTGATTTTCCTCCTTGAACACAAAACATATTTGCAATTTAGAAAACCAAAAAGCAGCTCAATGGGCAGACTGTCTCAGAAAAGGCTTTTACCCTAGTAGATATGGAAAGACAGTACGGATTCTTTCCTTTGGCTCAATGTTAAGAAATCAGTAAGTTAACTGAGCTTACAAAAACTCTATTAACACGAAGAGCACACTAATCTTTAATATTTAAACATCATCTAAAACATTAAACAGAACCCAACAAAAAATCTAAAAGGTATAGTCTATGTGTAGTATTAATTTGGGAAACTTCAGGAACTTCTATCTCTATTGAAAAAGACCAAATTAAGACCAAACCATCTGGCGTGGTGGTGCATACCTGTATTCTCAGCACTTGGAAAGGGGAGGCAGGAAGATCAGGAGTTCAAGGTAATCCTCAGCTACATATTGAGGCAAGGCCAGCTTATACTATGTAAGACCCTGTATTAAGAAACAAAAAACATGCTTTAAATAAAACTGGGTCATACTAAACTACAGAAAATGTTCTTTATCACTAGCTGACCTTCATATTTGATGAGCAAAGAAAATTCTATATCAATGAATACTCTGCAGTATCAGTAATTTTGACTATCTTTTATGTCAATTTGACTTTTATTATCTTTTAACATTTGAAATCTGTTACCTCATAAAACTCTTCCCAAGAGAATTATAATTTTAATTGTGATCTTAAAGGATCTTATATTTAAAACATTAAGTTAAAACCATAATCATATGATTGCTGGTTACATGGATAATGCTGTCTCTTTCTAAATGAAAACAAAATGAAATTTTATTTTAGAGGTTTTAATTTGGGTTGCTCCAATTCATTTCATCATGTATACTTTATTACCAGCTCTCATTATTAGTGTTTTATAACCACTGCTTTAATATTTGAGAGCCTAAAAAGATACTACCCAGAATGAAAATATGCATAGCTGTGGCTGAAATTTGTTTCTTATTTATCTAAACTTATTATTCAGGGAGTTCTAAAGTCATGATTAGGAGACACATGATTTAAGCTATGGTTAAAAACAGCATACAAGTCTAAGAAATGATACATCTTCGATATTTTGAAAAATCTTTAACAAGACCAAGAATAAAATTGAGGTCGTCTTCATTATAAAATGTAGGAGGGGCAAGTGTTTTATCTTAGAGAGTTCTCTCAAACATCTTTCCTATATGAAAAATCTGTGTTACCACCACAAAATTATTCTTCCTACTCATGATATTTTACATAGCATCATTTAAGCACCAGAGAAATATTCTGTAAACAAACTTTTAACCAGTAAAGAAAGGGCAAATGTCCACTTGCCTTCATACAATACTTAAAAGGCCGTAATATGAGCCTCTACTTCCTACAATGCATTTTTATAGTAAAAGTTCAAATATATTTATACAAACAACAAAGAGAATTACTGTACACTTCATGGCAAAAAAAGGAAGATCAACATACTAGAGCTTTTTAGTTAAAAAGTGAGCACGAGAAAACTATAAAATGAATGCATGTATAAAAATTCAGTAATTTAGGTTTCATTGAAAGGATGATAATTAGTAAAAGATAGTAGTGCACTGGCTTTTAATTATCCTGTAAACAGTAAGAAAGTAATAAGCAATACATTAGAGATGTCTTACCTCCCAATAGTTCCCTTCTCTAACACTGGAACCCTAGTTATCGCAGTTAAAATCGTCTCTAAAATATTAGAATATCCTCAACAGAAAATAAATTCCATCTGGGATAAGTTTAACAGTCTATAACACATTTTGGACACGACAGAAAAACTACTGCAGATCACAGAAGGACTGATCTACACATTATATAACAGAGCGACTCAAACCTTTACACCTGTTGCGCCAGATTTTCTTTGTTGCTATTATATTGCTTTCTAAATTGTTTGGAAGCATGGTAATAAAATGGAAAACCAAAAAGTGAAAAGAACATTAAATGTTTAATGTTTTTATATTTGGGAAGGGAAAAAAAAAGCCCCAATATAGCCTTTCTCTACTGCTCTTAGGAAAAAGTTTCATTTGGCACACTGGACTTAGAAAAAGAAAAGAAAAAAATTAACTAAAAGTGCTTGGTATTCCAATCACCAGCAGTTAAGACAACAGTAGGAAAGGAAAAAGGAAAAATGGCTGTTTTAAGAGAAAACATTAGAAGACAAACAACAAAGACTCTCTGTGTCTTCTACCTCACTGTCTCTGGAATATTTTCATCTACAACACAATATACAAATTATTATTTACATAATGATTATATCAGTAATGAAACCAGAATCAGTTCTTGTTGCATTCAAAGTTACAGTGCCCATTGAGAAAGTCATGACCATCAAGGCAAGGAGGCCTTCAACAAAAATTCCAATCACATTGCATATTTTATTTGTCTTCTTGTTTGTGTTCAAGTTTTATGCACAAAATTTGAAAACTCTAGAAGTCCTGTAAACTTGGTCTGAGCTTCTGCAGTTGGTAACTTCACAAAGAGCATGTTTGTTTCAGTAAATGTTCTGCAGGCCTATAAAAGCATTTCTTTAAACAGTGGTATCTCCAAAGTCCTTGTTCCAACGTATGTATGCTTCTAAGGTCTGAGGACTCACACTGCGCTTTATCTTTTTTAAGGATTCAGTGAAGTCAGATAATCGAATATTTCTCATCTGCATTAAAAACAAATGATGAACACATATAGCAAACAAGGGACAAAAAAGGTTGTTAATTTTTTAACAAATACAGACATATTTTTAGAAAACCATACCAATCATTTAAATATATTTTTATAGTACACATTAGGCAAGCTTGCTACATAAGATACCTTCTATCAATGTGAATATGATCAAAATATATTGACACTCTGAAAGAATCAAGTAAAAAAAGAAAAACAAAACAACATCTAAGTATGTGGTGCACACCTATAGTTCCAGGACCTGAGAAGCTGAGGTAAGTGGATTGTAGAAAATAGCCTGAGAAACACAGTGGGAAGTGGGACTATTGTCTTCAAAAACAACCACCATTACCACAAGTACCAACCAAATGAAACTAAAAGGTTTACACTATAGGAACATTTAAAAATAGGTCCATAAGATTTTAGTAAGTAATACTTGAGCTAATTTTAAAAATTCACAAGGCTGGACATAGCAAAGCACACCTTTAATTCCAGCTCTAGAGAGCAAAGACAACTGGATTTTCTGAGTTCAAGGCCAGCCTAGTTTACACAGTGTATTTCAGGACTGCCAAGGCTATATACTGTGAGACCCTACTGCAAAATACAACAAAATTTAAAAATTAAAGGACAAAATATTTCATAAAACACTTTGGGAACATAAATAACAGTAATTATTTAAAAAACAAAAAAGTTATGAATGAGATTAAAGTGATTTGAATTTATACTTTACGTATGAATTTTGAGACAGGGTCTCACTATGTAGCCATGGCTGGTCTCAAACTTAAGAGAGATCTGTCTACCTCTGCTTCCAGAGTGCTAGGATTAAAGGATGCAACATCATGCCAAGGTTTACATATGAATTTTATTATTTTTATTGTATTGCCTGCATGTGTGTAAGTGGACTCATGTTGTGCAATGCCCAAGGAGGTCAAAAGAAGACGTCAGATTCCCTGGAACTGGAGTTACAGACGGTTGTTAGCTGCCATGTGAGTGCTGGGAATCAAACCTGGGTTCTCTGCAAGACCAGCCAGTGCTACTAACTGCTAAGCCATCTCTCCAACCTGACACATTAATTTTTAAGGTAAGGTTAGCTAAGAATCACAGTAAGTATGAGAAATTCTCTATTCCTTAATCTCATCTATGTCAAACAAACTCTAAGTAAAGCAGACTATGAAAATAGGTGTGGGGTACAGTTGTGATAGTGTTCCTTCCTACAATGAATAGACCCCTAGTGTGATTATCCCCAGCACTAAATATATACCTCCCACACACATAAAATAGGGTTTGCAAGAAGCATGAGGGTTTTTTGGATAATTTAGCTGATTAGTTGATTGTATTGTTTAAGATGTTTAATCAGGGACTGGAGAGATGGCTCAGCAGTTAAAAACACTGGTTGTTCCTGCAGAAGACCCGGGTACAAATCCCAGCACCCACATGGCAGCTAACAACTGTCTGTAACTCCAGTCTCAGGGGATCTGACAGCCTCTTCTTACCTCTGTGGGCAGTGTACAACATGGGTGCACTTACCTACATGCAGGCAATACACGCATACACATAAAAAATTTTTTTAAAAAATAAACTTAAAAGTTAAAAAAAAAAGATGCTTAATCAGATAATCTCAAGTTCACTTGGAAGGCTGAAGACAAAAGATTAATGAAATGTCCACTCGCTCTCTAGGTTAACAATTCTAGGTCTACAGAATAGTTGCTGAAACTTGGGTAATAAAGTATTTCTGGGGCAAGTGTGATGGCTTGTTACTAAGCCTGACCACCTGAGTTCGATTCCCAGCAGGGTGAAATTTGAGAACCAACTCCTGCAAGCTATCTTCTGGCATCGATACATACATAATGGCACGTGTCCACCACTCAATAAATAAATGGATAAAGAAAAATCTCTGACAGGTTAAGTTATAATTCAAGCCTGTAATCTCAAAAGTTTGCTCAGCAGGACCTGGTGGCACAAGCCTTTAATTCCACCATTTGGGAGGCATCTAGGCCAGCTTGGTCTACATAGCAAGTTCCAGGCCAATTGGGGCTACAGGAAGACCCTGTTTCATAAAAAATATAAAATAAAAAAGTTTGTTCATACATAATTATAACTATCTGTATATCCTATTTTTTTATTTTGAAATTGATCTATTTCCAAAGAACTGCTTCAGTATATTATAAATACCTATGTTATGAAAATACAATAAATTACATCATAATATTGCATCATAATGTTACATCATAATAGTGTTGCTTCTAAAGGAGGGGGGACTAGTGAAAAACTAAGAGAACAGTAACCATTTAACTTTCAATCATAAGGTTTTCTTTTTTATCTTTCTTCCCCTTCTCTTGTTAGGTAGCCCATGATAGCCCTAGAGTAGTATGTAGTCCAGGCTGATATCAAATTTATGACCCTCTGTCATCTGATGACCACATGCTGGGATTAAAGATATATACAACCATGCCCTTCTCTCTTTCTCTATTTTTTTTTCTTTTTTTCAGTGCTGGGGATCAAACATAGGGCCTTATACATGCTAGGCAAGCACACTACCACTGAGCTACACCCATTAACTTCATACAGGCATTCTTAAAATGTATAAATCAAATTTTTTGTAATTTTGATTTTTGCGTGTGGGTCTTTTGGAGACAGGGTCTCCCTGTAGCCCCAGCTGACTTAAAACTCACTATGTAGACCAGGCTGGCCTTGAACTCACAGAGATTTGCCTGCCTCTGCCTCCTGATTGCAGAGATTAAAGGCATGTGTCACTGTGCCTGGCTAATTTTATTTTATTTTTTAATTATTTTTACTTTATGAGTGTGCATGTATTGCCTGCATATAGGTAAGTGTACCTGTGTCGTGCAGTGCCCAAGGATGACAGAGGCTGTCGAATCCCCTGGAACTGGAGTTATGGACAGTTGTTAGCTGCCATGTTGGTGCTGAAATTCAAACCAGCACCAGTGTTCTTAACCACTGGTCCATTTCTCTAGCCCTGCCCAACTAATTTTAAAGATTATTATTGATTCAAGAATTTCATACCTTTTCACCCCACATATTTATATCTTTTTATATTTAGTCTGTTTGAGACAGGGTCTCCCTGTAGCCCCAGCTGACCTGGAGCTCACTATGTAGACCAGGCTGGCATTGAACTCACAGAGATCTGCCTGCCTTTGCCTCCCAAGTGCTGGGATTAATGGTGTGTGCCACCGCGCCTGGCTTATTGTCTTTTTTAAAAAAATATTTATTATTTTTATTTTATGTGTATGAGTATATTGCCTGCATGTACTGCAGAGGTCAGAAGAGGGCTTCAGATTCCCCTGGAACTGGAGTTAAGAACCGTTTGTAGCTGCCATGTGGGTGCTAGGAATTGAACCTGGGTCCTCTGCAAAAGCAGTCAGTGCTCTTAACTGCTGAGCCATCTCTCCAGACTCTATTATTGTCTTTTTAAATTTTATTATTTTTATTCTATGTGTATGTATGTATTGCCTGCATGTATGTAAGTGCACCCATGTCATGCAATGCCCACGGAGAACAGAAGAGGCTGTTGGATCCCTGGAGTTATGGACAGTTAGCTGCCACGTAGGTGCTAGGAATCGAACCTGAGTCTTCTGCAAGAACAGTATTCCTAACCACTGAGCCATCTCTCCAGCCCCTCTATTATTGTCTTTTAATTTTCTGTTTAATATTTATATAATATGATGTGACAGAAAATGACTGGGTTTTTTTATGAAAAAAAAATATTTTTGCCTGCATGTATGTAAATGTTCCATGTGCATACAAAGCCTGCAGAGGCCAGAAGAGGGAGTTGGAACTCGAGTTACAGACAGGTGTTAGCCACCATGTGGGTGCTGGGAATCAAACCAGGGTCCTCTGGAAGAACAATAAGTGTTTTTAATTGTTGAGCCATCTCTCCAGCCCCATGACTGGTTTTTAATTTATTTTTTTGAAGACAGGGTCTCACTGGATAGCGCTAGATGGCCTTGAACTCACAGAGATCTGCGAATCTTTGCCTCCCAAGTGCTGGGATTAAAGGTGCCACCATACCCAGAGACACTATAATTTTTTTGCCCATTACCAAAGAACAATGTAACAGAGTGGTTTCATAGGCCTTATATTTTGAAGTGGAACATTAAAATTTTCTTGCTTACAGTTAAACAGGACTATATAAAAAAACAAAACTATTAGTCTTATAAAGGACCCAAATGAAGAAAAAAAATCATAAAATAGTATATACCTCACTGGCAGACATATTCTTCACCTGCTCTGGTTTCAGTTCTGCAAAATATAAATCATAAAAATCACTTTGAAGTTTAAATTGCTTATTGGCAAAAACCAAGCAAAATGATCTAATAGTACTTGTATAATACAAACCAGTATACTAATCAAGAGACATATTTTAACACTGACAATGCATAAAACTTATGCTTTCAAAACAATATTTTTTCTTTAAGAGTGAATGAGAGCATTCAATTTCTGCATATTCCCAAGAACAATAGTTTACAAATTTGAAATAGAGCTTAAAGAACACAACTTCTTTCTTCTAAAAGGTCTCTTTTGGCCAGGTGTGGTGGTACATGCCTTTAATCCCAGCATTCAGGAGGTACAGACAGATCTCTGAGATCAAGGCCAACTATATAGTGAGTTTCAGGTCACCATGAAGGGCTACAGGAAGACAATGTCTCAAAAAAAAAAAAAAGAAAAAGAAAAGAAAAATGGGAAAAAAGAAAAATGGGGCTGAACCCAAGTTTGTATCCCAGCGCCCACTTGGTGGCTAATAACAGTCAGTAACTACAGTTCTGGGGGATCCAATGCTCTCTTCTGGCTTCTGAGGGCACTGCGTGCATATGTTGCGCATACATGAAGGCAAAACATTAATACATATTAAATAAATAAATAATCTCCTTCAGAATAAGTAAAATACAAATAGAGACCGGGCACCTAGTTCAGTGGTAGATTAGCCTCACCTGTGTGAGGCCCTAGATCTAATCCCTGACACTGACCAAAAAAAGTAAATAAGACACCCAGTTTTCCTTTGAATTTCCTGTTTTTTAGTCACTATTAAAGAAGTGAAATGGGGGCTGGAGAGATGACTCAGCAGTTAAGACCACTGGCTGCTCTTGCAGAAGACCCAGGTTCAAATCCCAGCACTTACATGGCAGTTAATAACTGACTGTAATTCTTGTTCCAGGGCATCCAAAGCTCACTGCTGTCCTCTGTGGGCACTACACAACATGGGTGCACTTACATATATGCAGGCATAACACTCATAAAGATAAATAAATTTTTTAAAAAAGAAATGTTAGGGCTGGAGAGATGGCTTAGTGGTTAGGAAGACTGGCTGTTCTTGCAGAAGACCTGGGTTCGAATCCCAGCACCCACATGGCAGCTAACAACTATCGGTAACTCCAGTTCCAGGAGATCCAACAGCCTCTTCCATCTTCCTCGGGCATTGCACAACACAGGTGCACTTACCTACATGCAGGCAATACGCACACATAAAAATAAATATTAAAAAAAAGAAAAGAAATGTTGAACTGGGCATGGTGGTGCATGCCTTTAGTCCCAGCACTCAGGAAACAGAGGTGGGCAGATCTCTGTTGAATTAAAGGCCAGCCCGAACTATATAGTGAGTTCCAGGCCAGTTGGGGCTACAGAGAGACCCTGTCTCAAAAAGACCAAAAATAAATAAATAAATAAATAAATAAATTTATTAACATTTTAAAAAATTAATTGTTATTTTTATTTTATGTGTATGGCTATATTGCCTGCATGTATGTGAGTGCGCCTGTGTCGTGCAATGCCGCAGAGGTCAGAAGAGGGCTTTGGATTCCCCTGGAACTGGAGTTAAGGACGGTCCGTAGCCACCATGTGGGTGCTGGGAATCGAACCTGGGTCCTCTGCAAGAGCAGTCAGTGCTCTTAAGCTCTGAGCAATCTCTCCAGCCCCACGTTCTTTATTTTAAAAAAAGATTTATTTTTGTGAATGTGGATCCATGTAAAGCTTTTATTAAAATATGAGCTATACAAATTTTAGGGGGATTAGCTCAGTAAAGCACTTGCTAGACAAGTACAAGGTCCTGGGTTTGGTCTCCAGCATGCTCCCCCCATATTGTCAGATAGCAGAGCTAGAACTCCGAATGGAATTAAGAAGACTATCATTCTTCACACTATACCAGAGTAAATACAATATACACACATGTGGGTACCAGTGGAGGCCAAGAGGGTGTCAGATCCCCTGGAGCTGGAGTTTCAGGCAGCTGTGAACCACCCAATGTGGGAAGCAAATTGGAGTCCTCTGCAAGAGCAGCAAGCTTGCTTAACTGCTCAGCCATTTCTCCAGCACACATTTCTATTCTTGACTAAGAAAAAGCTTTCTTCACTGCTCAGTTGGTACTTAGGTACTTAGTCTTGTTATTGGGCCTACAATTCTAAGAGGGAAAAGAAACCAGTTTGGGGGCAGAAACTCTTAACAGATTCAGCAACCCAGATCTGATCAGCTATCGTCTCCATTAGAGTCACATCCTGTTAATAAATAAGAACACCACCAATCAGTAGTGAATGAACACTCAGGGAGTTGATGCTTTCCCCCTTGTATGCAGTGTAAATAAAATATGGGATGTTTGTTGAAAAGCCATGGATGGTTTGGGCCTGAGCTCTTGGATGACTGCTTCTGGGAGACTTAAAGTTATTTCCATCCTGATGATTTTCTAGCTCTCAGGGTATTACTTTTACAACACAGGTATTTTTTACTTCTAGGAGGTTAAAGATACATCTGTTGCTGAGGACCCTTTGCCCCATGGGGGCTTGTCTTTGGGAGGTTGAGAGCTTTAACTAGCACAAATTGAGAGTTCCTGCAGGGACCTGGATGTCAGTGATCCTGTGAAAACCTTCCTGAAATTTTTGTGGGATCAAGACTTGGGCTTGGTAACATATATGTCCTATTATGTTTGTCTACTTATACTGTCTAACCTCAGTGTATTCTTTTGCCTAAGAACTTTTTCTGCTGTTGCTTCTTCCGTTGTATTTGAGACATTCAGCTTGACTTTTTTTTTTTTCATTTGTTTTTTTTAATGTTTTATTTTTGGTACGTATGTATGTATGTATGTATGTGCACCCAGGTGTATACACAGGAGGCCAGAGAAAGACATCAGGTGCCCCTTTTATTCCTTTAAGACAGCACCTCCCGTGCTGGAGAGATGGCTCAGCAGTTAACAGCACTTGCTACACAATCATCATTAGGACTTGAGTTAAGATCCCATCACCTATGTAACAAATAAGACATCCTGAGCGCGCATGTAACCTCAGTTCTAAAAGGAGATGAGGACAGGTGGAACACTGGGGCTCACTGGCTTCCAGCCTAGCCAAGAAAACATGAGTCCCATGCATAGGGAGAACCCTTGCCTCAAAGGAATCAGGAATGACAGATCAAGACACCTTATTCCTTCTGGTCTCCTTGCTTGCACATAGGTACATGCACATACACTCTCTCACACACACAATAAATAAATCTTAAAAAAAGAAAAAAAAGGAAAAAAAAAAAGGCAAGGTCTCTGAACCATACACTCTCTATTTCAGCTAGACTGGCTGCCCAGCCATCTCTTGGGAATGCTTCCTGCTCTCAACGCTGAGGTTACTGGCACATACTGCCACGTCTAGTTTTTTATGTGGTTGTTGGGGATTCAAACTAAGGCCCTTGTGCTTGCCCAGTAAGAGCTTAGGGCTTTTTTGTTTGGTTTGGTTTTGTCTTGTTTACGGTACTGATGATTGAGCCTAGGCCTTGGACATGTTAGGCAATTCTCAATCACTGACCCTTTTCTTTTTTACTTTTTAAAAATTTGAGATAGGGTCTCACTAAACTGCCCACATAGATTTTCACCTCTGTCTCTCTAGTCCGTGCTGGCCTTGAACCTGAAAGCTTCCTGCCTTAGCTTCCCAAGTAGCTGGGATTACAATCTTGTGCCAGCACCTCTACCTTACTAGTAAGTTCTTGGTACTTCAGGAATTTAAATCTTAAAAGGCAGTATCTTAAGTCTTTTGATTTTTTTGTTTTGCTTTTTTTTTTTCTTGAGACAGGGTCTTACTATATAGCAATGACTGGCTTGAAATTTGCTATGTAGACCAAGCCGGCATCTAAATCACAGAGATCCACCTGCCTCTGACTCCCAAGTGCTAGGGTTAAAGGCATGCACTATCATGCCCAGCCCTAAAGTCTTTTAAACTACCACTTTATAACTCTAGTTAAATGAACACTTATTGGTCTAGGTTATTATACTATATTTGATACTCTGTACGTTCATAACCAGAGATATGTATGTGTGTGTATGAATACTAAATATGCTATGTGTCTCAGCTTTGTCAAAATGTTTTACAAATGTTATACAAAAGTTTGTAAAATTAAAGGTACAAACTTAATATATGCAACATAACTGCTAAGTGTTCTCTTTTACACAAGATGCACTGTACTTGAACTTTATAAAAATCATCAGTGAAATTTTTATGATTGCTGCTGTATGTATTAAGTACCATTTCAGAGGGGGAAATGCCACCATATAGACAGTCTTGCCTGTTAGAGTTCTGCCTGGCTTGACTAAGTACTGTTGTGTTTTCATATTCAAGATGCATACATATCTGGAATCACCATAACTAATCTCAAAATTTGTAAGGAGGTTTACAGCTATCCTTCAATTTCAAAATTACTGTGTAACCCCCAAATAGAGAGATAAGTGAACAACTGAGGGCTTAGACAATTTATGAAAGGTTTCAGAAAGCAAGGGAATTAGTGAGCAGCTTCTCTTCTAGGTGACAGGCCTATTCAAGCTAATAGTCTTGTTAGCTTTCTCTCTCTCTCTCTCTCTCTCTCTCTGTCTCTCTCTCTCTCTCTGTCTCTGTGTGTGTGTGTAACTTGAACCAGGTCCACTGGTTCATGGACTATCTTGACATGAACTGTGAGCTAAGAATGGTTTTACATTATAAAAGGCTGTTAATAAAGAAAAGATGGAAAGAAAAACCATGCAACAGAGAACAGATTTTCCACAAAGCCTAAACTATTTACTATGAGATCTTTCACAGAAAATATTTGCTGACCTTTACTCTAGAAACTACTTTGTATTTACAATGATAAAGCTTTATTGCTTTCACACTGATTACAAAAAAAAAAAAAAAAAAAAAAAAGACCTCTCAGTAGAGACTTCAACTTACAACACGGTGGTATCATGCAAAGTTCTAATGTTTCAAGCTCTTTCACACTCACCTCTGATAGGGCCTAGTGCTGCATCTTTTGCCAGAGCTGTTAGATCACTTCCTGAATATCCATCAGTCATTCTGAAAGACGGAAGCAAAAAACAAGAAATTATCTTCTGCTTTGCAAATTAAAACTTTCCTGTAATCCCACCCCTCATGAGGTACAGGCAGAAGGATCACAAGTTTCAGGCTGCCCTGAGCTATACAGTCAACCAAATAAAAAGGCCCAATAGAAAGAACACATAAAAATAGCCAGGCATAATGGCACACACCTTTAATCCCAGCACTCAGAGGCAGAGGCAGGTGGATATCTGTGAGATAGAGGCTAGCCTGGTCTACACAGTGAGTTCCAGGCCAGTTGGGGCTACAGGGAGACCATGTCTCAAAAATTCCCCACAAAAAGAAAAAGAACACACAAAAATCTCCACATAAAAAGGCATACACTATTTTGAATTTAGAAGCAAACTAACGATTATGCTGCTTCATTTTCTTCTTTTTCTTAAATATTTATTTATTTTGGGGCTGGAGAGATGGCTCAGTGGTTAAGAGTATGTACTGCTCTTGCAGTGAACCAGGGTTCAGGTCCTAGTACCCACAAATACCTCTAACTCCAGTTCCAGGAATCTGAAGTCTTCTGAACTCTGCAGGCAACTGCAACAGTTACATATGTTGAATAGAAACTCATGCAGGCACACATACACACAATAATTTCTTAATACTTTTTTTTTTGTCTTTTGAGACAGGGTCTCCCTGTAGCCCCAGCTGGCCTGGAACTCAATTATGTAGACCAGGCTGGCCTTGAACTCACAGAGATTCACCTGCTTCTGCCTCCTGAATGCTGTGATTAAAGGCATGCACCGCCATGCCTGGCTATACTTCGTTTTTATTTTATGTGTATGAGTGCTTTGCCTGCATGTATGTGTGTGGTGGTTTGAATGAGAATGTCCCCCTTATGCTCCAAGTTTTGGACATTTTGTCCCCGGTTGGTGGTGCTATTTTGGGAGTTCTTAGAAGGTGTGGCTACACTGGAGGAAGCACATCACTGGGGGTGGACTTAGAGAGTTCTTAAGCCTTGCCGTATCTCCAGTCACTCTCTTGCTTCCTGTGCCTGCGTAAAGATGTAAAGCTTAGCTTCTGCTCCTCCTTCAGACACCTTTGCTGCCGTGCTTCCCCATCAAGAAGGACTATAAATCTCCTGGAACCGTAAGCACAAATAAATTCCTCTTTCTATAAGTTGTTTTGGGTCAGAGTTTCTATCACAGCAACAGAAAAGTAACTAATACAGTATATAAGTGTGCCCAAGTGTGCAATGCCAGTGGAGGACAGAGAGGGTGTCAGACTACCTGGAGCAGGAGTTATAGGTAGTTATGAACTGCCGTGTGAGTGCAAAGAACCAAATCCAGGTCCTCCACAAGAGCAGTACACATTCTGTTCTTTTGTTTGTTTTTAAATTTTTATTTTATGTGCATGAGTATTATGCCTGCATGTAAGTAAGTGCACCCATGTCATGGAAGGCCCAAGGAGGACAGATGAGGCTGTTGGATCCCCTGGACTGGGGTTATGGACAGTTGTTAGCTGCCATGTCTGTGCTGGGATTTGAACCCAGGTCTTCTGCAAGAACAGTGTTCTTAACCGCTGAGCCATCTCTCCAGGCCCACACAATTTTTGGGGGGGAGTTTTCTTTTGTCTTTTTTGAGACAGAGTCTCCCTGTAGCCCCAACTGTCCTGGAACTCACTATGTAGACCAGGATGGCCTCGAACTCGGAAAGATCGGCCTGCCTCTGCCTCCCAAATGCTGGAATTAAAGGTGTGCGCCACCACGCCTGGCTACATTTTTTTTTTTTTTAAATATTTTATTGAAGGCTGGGCATGGTGGTGCACGCCTTTAATTCCAGCATTTGGGAGGCAGAGGCAGGCCGATCTTTCCGAGTTCGAGGCCATCCTGGTCTACATAGTGAGTTCCAGGACAGTTGGGGCTACAGGGAGACCCTGTCTCAAAAAGACCAAAAAAAAAACAAATTATTATTTTTATTTTATGTGTATGAGTGTTAATAATCTGCATGTAGGTAGGTGCACACATGTCATACAATGCTCATGGAGGTCAGAAGAGGGCTTTGGATTCCCTGGAACTGGAGTTACAGATGGTTGTTAGCTGCCATGTGGGTGCTAGGAATCGAACCCAGGTCCTCTGCAAGAGCAGTCAGTGCTCTTAACCTGAGTCATCTCTCCAGCCCCAAGAGAATACACGTTCTTAACTGCTGAAACTTCCATTCAGCTCGGTGGTTTAAGGGCATAGAACGACCTATTTACTAAGTGACACAATCTAATGCTGGCTTTTTATGACACCTCAAATTTTCAGCAATAGAGAACCATTCCTTTATGTTAGTCCAACCTGAAGCCCACATGTGTCCCACTATGAATAAGGCCCAACACACTTGTAGATAACCATATTGTATTACAGTATCAAAAGGCTGGTTACCTCTGGTTTAGAATAAGGTACACTCCCAGGAAGGTTCCATAAAATTCTAAACACATCACCTGAAAAGGTTAAATCTACAAGCCATTAATGGCCAATCAACATATAACCACAATTACTTCTTAAGACAGAGTCTCACTGAGTAGCCCTGGTTGGCTTGGAACTTGGTTCTTAAACTAGGCTTTGTCTCAAACTCACAGAGCTCCACTTGCCTCTGCCTCTTGAGTACTGGGATTAAATGCGTGCATCACAATGCCCTGCCACTATTACTTCTTTAGTAAAATCATTTAGTCTCTTTACTGGCAAAGAGCACTCTTAGTGGAATGCAAGGAAAAAAAAAAAGCAGATTTCTTTAAATGTAGGACAAAAATAATAAAAGAAGTATTATAAAAGAATTATCATAAAAGAATTGTTTTTTAAAAAAGGCATTGAATAGGATGCCACATTGGACAGGGTAGCCAAGAGATTATCAAAAAAACCAGAAAGAGAGGCAAAGGGGAAGAAGAAAATAAACTGAGAAAGCATTTACTTCCTATACAAACCATTTAACTTTATGTGTCTATGTGTGTGCCTCTGTGTGGGTATATGTATGTATGTGCAGATGTCTTCAGAAGCCAGAGGTGCCAGATACCTCTGGAGCAGCAGGTGTTTGTAAGCTGCCAACATGGGTGCTGGGAATTGAACTTAGGTCCTCTGAAAGAGCAGGAAGCACTCTCAATCACTCATATATCTGTCCAGGCCCCTAAATCAAATTCTTTACTAGCATGCCAAAAAAGGACTTCTATATTTCCTAGTATTTAATTTGCTCCTTTTCTACAGGCATTTGAGAATGCAGTACTCTTAAGAAAATTACTCACTACTCAAAATATCTTTAAGTTTTTATAATTCCAGCACTTTAAAGGCAAAGCCAGGTAGATGTCTATGAATTCTAGCCCAGTCACCCTGTCTCATAAATGAATGAATGAATGAATGAGAACATGTTTTTTGTCTTTTTGAGACAGGGTCTCTCTGCAGCCCCAGCTGACCTGGAGCTTACTATGTAGACCAATTGACCTTGATCTCAATGCTGGGATTAAAGTCATGCCTCACCATGCCTGGCCTTAAATAAAAAAAAAATTTTAAAGATTTTTGTAATACTAAGAATGGACCTTAGGTCCTCATATAAGCTAGGCAGGTACTACCACTCAGTAGAATGCTATTTACTAGTGAGAAGGTGACATTTAAATGGGGTTCCCAGAAAAGACCTCACTGAGAAAATAATTTTTTCTCTCTCTCTATCCCCCCCTCATTCCTTCTTTGAGATAGAGTCTTAGATAGTACAGACTGGCCTCAAACTTACTATGTAGCAGTGGATGACTTTGAACTAATTTTCCTGCCTTAACCTCCAAGTGCTCTTAAATTATTTTTATAGCATTTTTCAGTGAGTAAAACTCACAAATGCGTTGCCTAAAGACACTTTATACTTACATAAAACATGTTTAAAATATATAAGCTACCATTAGTCAGGCTCCTTTGGGTGTTCTGGCTCAATTGCTCTCCCCTTAACCCTTCAGGCTTGTAGAATCGAGCTTGAACAAACTGTGTGCTGAGTTTACTAAAAATCCTAAACCCTTGGTATCCGTTTGCTTACTATCTAATCACTCTGGTCTACCTTCTGCAAAATTCAAAGAACACCCTTTGTTCTCATTGTTCCCTGTTGCTAATTTTCCTATTAAACATACTAACAAATAATAAAGCATCAGAGATTGGTCTGGGAAAGGAAGTTGACACAACAATTTTCCTTCAGGGATGAAGTTTATTAGGAGAGTGGGCCTCAGAAGCATGCTTATCCTTAAGGTGAGAGGGAAATCATTAAGCTGAAAATGGTACAATATATGGCAAAGCCAAGCATGGTGGGAGCCTTGAAAGGAAGGAGAGGCTTTCCTTCAAAACCTGGAGAGGAACTTCATTTAGAGTGAGAATAAGAGCTACGGAAAGACAGCCTCCAAGGGAGGGGGGGGGCTTCAGAGACTAGCTGGAAAAACCTGAGAAATCCCCAGAACAAAGGAAATATCTGACTTTTATAAGTTTTAGGGAGCTGATGAGTTTTACATTATATGATTTAGTTCAACATAGCACACATGACAAAGAGCACTGAAGAGCCAGGTATCATAGATTAAGAGCTATAGGTCATAGCATAGATTGTTTACATTTTTTTATTTATGCTTTTTTCTTTGTTTTTGTTTTTTGGGGTTTTTTTGGGTCTTTTTGAGACAGGGTCTCCCTGTAGCCCCAACTGTCCTGGAACTCACTATGTAGACCAGGCTGGCCTTGAACTCACAGAGATCCGCCTGCCTGTGCCTCCGAGTGCTGGGATTAAAGGTGTGTGCCACCACACCCAGCTATGTATCTATTTTTATTTTATGTGTACCAGTGTTTTGCCTGCATGAATGAAACTGCACTCATGCTATGCAATGACTACAGAGGTCAGAAGAGGGTATCCAAACCCCTGGAACTGAAGTTCCAGATGGCTGCTAGTCACCATGTACTCTTAAACACTGAGTCATCTCTTCAGGCCTCAGAAAGAATTCTTTACCAAAAAAATGAATGCTGTAAAAGAAACCAAATAAAATTGCAAATAAATGAATGCTGTAAGATAAACTAAATCAAATCACTCACCTGGCAAGTTGTGCAAGTTCTTTTTGGGTTAATGGGCTTCCCTGTTTACATAACAGATTTTTAAGTAAAAGTAGTCTTGTCTGAAAAGAAATGTTAAAGAATTATCAATATAGCTTAATTTGATAACAGAATTATCAAAACTAATCATGCTACTTAATAAGCTAAGAATTAAAAAATCAAGTTCAGGGGCTGGAGAGATGGCTCAGCGGTTAAGAGCACTGACTGCTTTTGCAGAGGACCTGGTTCGATTCCCAGCACCCACATGGCGACTACACACTGTCCTTAACTCCAGTTGCAGGGGAATCGGAAGCCTTCTTCTGACCTCCATGGCACTGCACGACATGGATGCACTCACATACATGCAGGCAGTACACTCGTACACATAAAACTTTTTAAAAATTAAAAAAAAAAAATCAAGTTCAAATCCTAATTGTCACCTTGGACCTCATTCATTCTATTAAATAAAACAAAAACTACCTATTTTTCTGAGTGGTGAGAGAATTTTAGAAGATAATCTAAATCCAGCACTGAGGAAGTAGCTGCCATTACTGCCCAGAATGCTAAGGGTGTATTAAGGATAAATTTTTAAAAAATTTACCATACTTTTTAAAGAAAAGGTTTATAAATATATGAATTTATATAGCAAGAATTTTAACCATGTAAGTATATATAATCTAAATTATTTTTAATGGTACAGAATTATAAAACCATTACCATAATACAATTTTAGAACATTGTCAGATGAGGGTTCACTTGTGTCTATTAATAATTAATCCCACTGCTATCTCCTGTCCTAGCAAACCAGTGACCTGATGTGTAGTTCTAGAAATTTGTCTTTTCTGAATGCTGCATATAAATAAAATCATATGTCATTACTTTGTATGTGGCTCCTTTCACTTATGAGTTTTTAAAAATGTTTTATTTATTATGTTTATTTTATGTGTATGAGTGTTTTGTTTGCATGTATGTTACAAGCACCACATGTGTGCAATGCCCTAAGAGGCCAGAAAAGGGTGATGAATCCCTTGGAATTGGAGTTATGGATAGTTGTTAGCCACCATGTGGGTGCTGGGAATCAAACCCCAGGTCCTAGAGAAGAACAGTAAGTGGGTCTTTTTTTGTTGTTTTTTTTTGGGGGGGGTGGTCTTTTTGAGACAGGGTCTTCCTGTAGCCCCAGCTGTCCTGGAACTCACTATGTAGATCAGGCTGGTCTTGAACTCACAGAGATCCACCTGCCAATGCCTCCCAAGTGCTGGGATTAAAGGCATGTGCCACCATGCCCGGCAAGAAGAACAGTAAGTGTTTTTAACTGCTGAGCAAGCCATTAACTTGCTTCAGCAAGCCTGAAGTTTTACTTTTTTTTTAAGATTTCATTTATTCATTTTATGTGTATGAGTGTCTTGCCTTCATGAACATAAATGCAACTGTGTCATACAATGCCCACAGAGACCAGAGGATGACATTGGAGCCCCTAGAACTGGAGTTACAGACAGTTGTTGTTGACATGTGGGTGTTGGGAACCAAACCTAGGTAGCTTCTGCAAGAGCAGCTGGGGCTCTTCCATCTCTCCAGTACCACTTATGTTTGTGAGTTTTGTCATATTACTGAATATATATATATATCCTATTAATTTTTTTCATACCTATGGATCAAACCTAGGACCCTATATGTGCTGGCTAAATGTTCTACTTCTAAGCTACATTCCTAGCTCTAAAAAATTAATAATTTCTTGTTAAATACTATTCATTAACTAGATAAGTCACATTTGTTTATTCATTCAGCAACTAATGAAATGTTTTGCAGGTTTTGACTATTAATATAGCTGCTCTAAAACTTCTGGTATATGTCATTCTATGGAGATGTTTCTATTTTTCTTGGGTCAAGAACAGAATTGCTGTTCTTGTTTACAGTTATTGCTTTAAGATACTGACAACTTGTTCCACAGTGGCCATATCATAGAAGTGGAAGAGACAATAGTAACAAGACAATACTTCTTAGTTTTACTTAAAAGAAAATTCCAACCAGGATACATACCTCCTCATTTGGTAAAGACACATATACCCGTTTAATGAAACGCCTAAAGAAAATTCAAATTAGAAATACAAATTGAATTTATAGATAACTCAGTTCAAATAACAATTAATAGAAAAAAAGCTTTAAGTATAAGATGGAAGGCAATTAAAAGCATCTCAGTGGCTATCAAAATAAGGATATTTTTAGTTTCCTGTGTGTGCCTGAGATTGAACCTGTGGCCTCACACAAGCTAGACAAGCACTTTGCCACTGAGTTGTGTTCCCAGGCATGCCCTTCATTTAGTTTTTTAGACTTTATGTAGCACTGGCCAGTCTCAAATTTGTGATTCCTCCTGCCTTAGCTTTCAAAGTAGCTGGGATCCCAGTCCTATGCCACCAGGCAGGCTTGGCTTTTAGGTTACTTTAAAAACTCTTTTAGTCAGGGCTGGATGGATGGCTTAGGAGATGATAACACTGGCTGCTACTGCAGAGGACCTGGGTTTGGTTCCTAGTACCCACACGACAGCTAACAACCACCAGTAACTTCAATTCCAAGAGATCAGATGCCTTCTTCTCGCTACTGTGGGCACTGCACGCATGTGGTGTACTTACATACATGTCAGCAAAATACTCGTACACATAAAATAAAAATAATAAATTGACTGAAAACAAAATCAGTCCAGGAGTGGTGGTGCATACCTTTAATTCCAACACTTAGAAAGCAGAGGCAGGCAGATCTCTCTGAGTTTGAGGTCAGCTTCAACTATATACTGAGTTCTAGGCTGGTCAAAGCTACATAATGACACCCTGTTTTAAAAAAACAAACAAAAAAATCCCCCAAAACAAAAACATTCGGTCTGAGGGCCTGCAGGATGGCCCAATGGTAAAGGCATTTGTTGCTGAACTTGATAATCTTAGTTTGATCCCCAAGACCCAATGGAAGAAGGAGAGAAGAGATTCTGGCAAAATGTCTACAACTTGATGTGTGCACCATAGCACATGTACATTCCAGACCTCCCAAATAAATGCAATTAAAAAAATATTCAGTCTGGATTCAAGATGTCTACGCTGCCAACAGCCAATCATAGAAACAATTAACTAATGTTATAAATGCCGTGGGAAAAGAAAATGAAATTCAAGAATTTAGTGTTAAGTCAAACTTTTTTTCCAGAATGAAGGGTATAATTTTGCTAAAAAAACACAAGAACAGAAAACAGTTCTCATGAATCTTGCTTTGACCAGCTTCTCGTGAAGCTCAATAAAAGATGGCAAGGATCAATTTTAAACTTTAAAGGTAATTTATTAAGTAAGTTATTTATTGTGGCAACAATGGGCCAGATGATAGCACATGGAGGAAACATCATTTAATCTTAGAGCTGAGAGTACAGGAACCTTCTAAGAGATAGGCAAGATGAACACAGGAAACATATCTATCATAAAGAGGTCTCATTACCTGAGAACGGCCTCATCAAGCTCTTGGGGCCTGTTAGTTGCACCCATTACAAGTACTCTGTCATCTCCAGCAGATTGTACCTATGGACTCAAAAGGTTTGTTAGTATTTCAGATAAAATAAAAAGGATAACTATAAATACATATACTTCTACTTTGAGTCATTTAATAGGAAAGTATACGTATTAAAAATATTGCCACATTAAAAAATATAACCAATACTTACACCGTCAAATTCTATTAGAAATTCAGTTTTTAGACGTCTACTAGCATCATGCTCCCCTTCTCTTCTTTCACACAAAAGACTATCAACTTCATCTAGAGGAAATGCACAGAAGAGATTTCAAGACCATTCTAGGTGAGCCATCTTTTTTTTTTCAAGTTTTATTATTTTTATTTTACGTGTATGCGTGTATTGCTTGCATGTAGGTAAGTGCACCCATGTCATGCAATGCCCACGGAGGTTAGAAAAGGCTGTCGGATCTCCTGGGACTGGAGTTATGGACAGTTGTTAGCTGCCATGTGTGTGCTGGGATTTGAACCGGGTTCTTCTGCAAGAACAACCAGTGTTCTTAACTGCTGAGCCATCTCTCTAGCCCCCTGAGTCATCTTAATATTAACTCAGCTTGCTCCTTATTAACAGTTCTACTGAATTCACTCTTTAAACCCTTTTCCTTCTGAATAATCTTTTCTAGCAGACTTCTCATATTTAGAAAGCAGAATTCCTTAAATGTTCAATTCATATAGTTGGAAAAATGGTCTTACCTATAAAAATTATAGAAGGTTGAAGTTCTCGAGCCACAGCAAAAAGAGCTCTCACCAATTTTTCTCCTTCTCCCACCTAAAACAAGGTATTATGTATTGTTACAGAAACAAAATGTAACATTATTCCACTTGTCAAATTTTCATGACTTAAAATTTAACTTCACCATTTTCATAGTAAAAAACCTAGTAATTTAATTTTTCTTGCAAATTCCAGTGATTTGGTTTGAGAAACTGGAGATACTACTATTATGGAATAGTACTGTTATGGAATTGTATAATTTTAGGAAACAGACTATTTACTTTTGCTTTCATATTTTAATACTAAAAAAATGAAATACAGATCTATTTTGCTTCTCCCTGCACTCTGAAATTGGAGACTGGCTATTATTTAGAGTATAACCAGTATCATGAAAAACTAAGAGGGCCAGGGATAATACACATATTCCTTGAGCGCTAGACTTCAGGTCCAGCAAGCAGATAGGTTAGACAAGTTCTCCTTAATAAAATTTGCTCTATGAAGACCTTTAAGACTGGGCACAATGGAGCACACCTTTAATCCCAGCACTTTAGAGATAGACGCAAACAGATCTTTGTTTGCTGGAGGCAACAAGAGTTCTACAAAGCTCCAGGTCAGGCAGGGCCACATAGTGAGACCCTATCTCAAAAGCAAAAACAAACACAGAGACAGAACCAAAAATTAAAACATAGAAACAACCAACCAAACAAAAGAATACTTTGGAAGGCCAGCAAAATGGGTCAGTGGGTAAAGGTGCTTCCTACCAAGCCTGATGACCAAAGTTGTCCCCTGACCTGTACACATATACAATAAGTAATTTGGAGTTTTTGGTGGGGAGGAGGAGTTGTTTTGTTTTATTGTTTGTTTGACTGGATGGTTTGAGTTTTGAAACAGGGTAGGTATCATTTTGCAGCCCACGCTGGCCTAGAACTCACAAAAGATCTGCCTGCCCCTGCCTCCCAAGTACTATGGCTAAAGGCATGCATCACCATATGAAGGGTTTCTTTTTGTTGTTGTTTTTTAAATAACATCTTAGAAAAGGTAGAAGAAAATAACAATAGCTTTTTTAAAAATCAAAGGACAGGGGCTGGAGATATGGCTTAGTGGTTAAGAGCACTGACTGCTCTTGCAGAGGACCCAGGTTCGATTCCCAGCACTAACATGGCGGCCATGAACCATCCTTAACTCCAGTTCCGGGGGAATGAGAAGCCCTCTTCTAACCTCCATGGCATTGCATGACACGGGTGCACTCACACACATGCACACATAAAAAATAATAAAAAAATAAAAAATAGCCGGGCGTGGTGGCGCACACCTTTAATCCCAATACTTGGGAGGCAGGCGGATCTCTGTGAGTTCAAGGCCAGCCTGGTCTACATAGTGAGTTCCAGGACAGCTGGAGCTACAGGGAGGCCCTGTCTCAAAAATTCCAAAAAATAATAAATAAAAAATAAAAATAAATAAAAAAAAAAAAATCAAAGGACAAAACCCAAACACCTTAGAGAGGATAATCTCACGTTTAAGCCACATTTACTCTGGGGTTTAGTGAGATATGCAGTAGAACATATTCCTAAGTGATCCCATGTGTCATTTAAAACATTCAAAAATTAGACAATAGGAAGAGGCATAAAAGCCAAAAAAATAAAATAAAAAGGAAGACTTTTGGTAGTATGGTCATTTTCACATCCTATCAAAAGTATATCCATGCTCAGGTGCCAAGGATCTGAGTGTAACCGACTGTGACTAGTAATAATCATATTCACAGAGATTAGAGATGCTTGTGCAAACATCTAAGTGTTAGTAGCATTAAAAATAAGTCTTCCCGTAGGAAACACTTATTCAATTTTATGTCTTACAGGGTTTATACTGAGCTCAATAGTGTATAACTATATTAATTCAACTGTGAACTTAAAAATTTACAGCCACTTTTGAAAGAGATGTATATTTGCTCTGGAAATTGTTATTGAATATGCGAAAGCTGTAATGAAATGCTTCTTCTAATCATGTGGTTATTAAATTTTTTTTTTTTAAAAAGGAAGACTTTAAAAACTCATTCTCATGGGGCTGGAGAGTTGGCTCAGTGGTCAAGAGCATTGGCTGTTCTATAAGAGGACCTGGGTTCAATTCCCAGCACCCACATGGCAGCTAACAACTGTCTGTAAAACTCCAGTTTCAGGGGAATCCGAAACCATCTTCTGAGGGCACTTCACAACATAGGTGCATTTTCATACATGCAGGCAATACACTCATACACATAAAATTAAAATAATAAATATTTTTTAAAAAACTTATTCTTTATGCTACTAAAGAAAGTAGCATTTGTAGACTATTTTATCTATAGAAAACTGGTGTCATAAGAAGTGCTCTTTTGAGGTTCTCTCCAGATCTGAGAATACTTGTTTTGATGATTCCAAGGGTCTGAGTGAGATCATTCATTTTGTTTAAGTAAATTTTTCAATAAAAGGATAAATGGCATTTAGAGGATAGGGTGGTTTTTATGGATGCTTAGATGTGTAGACTATTCTTAGTTACGGTGGCTCCAGTACCTGGGAACATCTCAAGGGAGTATTCATAGAGCACCTGTAATTAATGTTTGTATTTATTGTATTTTTTGTTATTTATTATGAGAATAAGGTTTTGGGGGGGAGTTCTTTTTGAGACAGGGTCTCCCTGTAGCCCCAGCTGGTCTGGATTCGCTATGGAGACCAGCTGGCCTCGAACTCACAGAGATCCGTCTTCCTCTGCCTCCTGAGTGCTGGGATTAAAGGCGTGCACCACCATGTCCGGCTCCTGAGAATAAGTTTTTTTAGAATGTTTTATTTTATTTTATTTTATTTTATTTTATTTTATTTATTTATTTACTTATTTATTCATAAGTGTGTATTGCCTACATGTATGTGAGTGCACCCGTGTCCTACAATGCCACGGAGGTCAGAAGAGAGCTTCAGATTCCCCTGGAACTGGAGTTAAGGAGTTGCCATGTGGGTCCTGGGAATTGAACCCGGGTCCTCTGCAAGAGCAGTCAATGCTCTCAACCACTTCCAGGAATGTAGTTTTTGTGAGTCGACACCCATGCTGGGGTGGGGTTTTTGGTTATGAAGCTCCTTTCAGTTATCTCTGTTCCTATAAGTAGCTCCAATAAACTCACTGGTTCAATAACCTAGACTTGGGTGGAACTGTTTCTTTGGTCTGTCATTGCCCTATATTGTGATAGGAACTCCCCAGAACAAAGAAAAAGGAATGCAGTAAGATCTGTGTCCGAGTACCCTACACAGCTGTGCCTGTCATGACACTGTAGCACAGAGTACCCAATCAGGGTTATGTGTGTTACAATATATGGGAGACAAAGAAACTGAACTGTAAAGGGGAACTAACAGATGATATAAAAGGCTGGGTTTTTCTTTGTTTGAGGCTCTAATTTTTAGATATGAGCCCACAGAGCCAGGAGTTAGCACAAATATACTGCTTCTTGGAAAAAAGAAAACCGGTGACTCATCTCTTTGCACAGAGCACCTGCAACAGTATGAGGTGAACGATATTTGTTCATATATCCCCAGGATGTCATGCAAAACATAGTTACATTTGTGTGTGTGTGTGTGTGTGTGTGTGTGTAAACACGTGGTGCAAATATGTGTATATATGTGACTGCCAGTATGAGTGTGCCACAGGACATATGTGGAAGTCAGAAGGCAACTTGGGTGTCTCCTTGGGTTCAACCCTGTTTGAGTCAGGGTCTTTCTCTTGTTCTCTGTTGTGTAAGCCACATTGGCTGGTCTGTAAGCTTCCAGTAGTCCTCCTATTGTTACCTCCTGCCTCCAGGTAGAATACACTGGGATTACATATGCACACACTGCTGTATCAGTGTTTTTACATGGGTTCTGGGGATCTGAACTCAAATCTTCAGGCTTATGTATCAAACACTTTACCCACTGAGTCATCTCCCCAGCCCCTATACTTTTAAAATCATTCAAAAGTAAGGATTATTAAGGTATTTAAGGAAAATTAAATTCAACTTAGCGATGATGCTACAACAGAAAATTATTTCATTAGCTTCTCAGCTGTTACTAATGATTTAATCTAGTAAGCATATATTAATGTAATAAAAACCAAACTTCACACAAATTTTAAGACTATGGAAAAACACTTTGCAAATTGTAAAGTACTGTATTAGTTTTAACAAAAGCATCATAAGCACGTTAATTAGCACTTCTGAAATATAAGAATTAAGTCTACTTGTTTAATAAAATACATCTACAACTACAAGCAACAATCTGGATGAACTTCATGAATATAATGCTGATGAAAGAAGTCAAGCACATACATTCACCTATGATTCTATTCACACAAAGTTCAAAGATGGGCTGGTTTCTGTATGTTAGTATTCTAGTGTCTTTTGGGGGCGGGGTGAATAGAAAGAAGTATCCTGAAAGGATTTCAAGGAGGCAACTGGTATTCTATTTCTTGACCAGGAGACTGACTATAAAGTATATTTACATTGTGATAATCTACACTGCTATAAACACTTCTACATGTAAGTTATTCAATACATAAAGCTAAACAATTTAACATGTATATTAGTTACTTGTTTTGCTGCTGCAACAAAATCCCTGAAAAAAGCAACTTAAGGAAGAAGAATTTACTTTAGTTCACAATTCAAGGGTACAGTTCATCATGGTTGAAAAGTTATGGCAGTAACAAACAAAGACAGTCAGCTCCAATGCATCTGCAGTTAGGAAGTAGAATGTTGGGCTCAGCTGACTTTCTCCTTTTTATTCAGTCTGAGAACAAACCCACAGAATAGTTATCATCCACATTTAGGATGGGTCCTCCCACCACAACCTGTCCAGATAATCCCTCACAAACATGCCCAGAGTTCAAGCTGACAATTAAGATTAACCATCACACATGAAGATACACACATAACTGATTCTTGGAGGGAATAAATCTAGATATTTGAGTAAAGTAAATGTTCTTAAATATGAAATGGTATATTTTAAAAAATATTCTCAGGAAAAAGCATAAGAAATACAGTATCTTATATGATACTTACTAATGTTTTC